ATAGTTGTACATGATTATGAAGATGAAGCCTGAAAAGCCCTATTTTAGGCGTTTAGCAAGAAATCATATGCTATCTATGGTGGCAGTAGAATACAAAAATAGGCTTATTTTTGACCTGGAGTAAAAAAGTGATTTAACTGTCAAGGGCCAATTAGAAGCATATAATTTCTTCCCGGGTGAGACCACGGGGAGGAGCAATATATTAAAGCCTACATGGCCTGAATATTATGCGTAACGCCAACGACAGGAAACTAAAGCAGCACCAAATCCAATTCAAGAGGTCAGCAAGGAAAATATAAATGACATACTGCAATACATTAAAACATGGCCAGTCTGGATAAGACTTTAACTTGAGCACTAAATTGATTAAATGTAATTGGTGCTGCTGTAGCTAGAATCCCTCTCAAAAGCAAAGTCTTTCAAGAGTGATTCACATCAAATATGATGTCCTGCCGTCCTCACCCATCTGTAAAGAGAAGTACAAAAAAAAAAAAAAAGAATACAAAATTAAGACAGGACACAACCCATACCACAACACACAAACCAACATAAACACACAACACATAAACACAAAAACTACCCTACCATAAACCACCCTACAACCACAAACACATACAAGCCAAGCACCACAACCACCCAACAGAATGCAAACAAAGAAACACTATCGCCGGCCGCGACCTGCGTCCTGCGTCCTGCGTCGGCGGGGAAGTCCCATGGAGGTGGCCGGGAACAGCGTCTGATGCCTGGCTGGAACAAGAAATATTTTGAGCAACGAGCCAACACAAAGCAAGTAACGTTCAGAGAGGGGGGGGGGGGTTGCGACGCTGGTGACTGCCGTTGAGGTTGGCGCTCCTCCGCTGGTCCTGCAGGAGTGCCCGGGGTGGTCCGCCGAGCCCCGCGCCAGCCCCCGGCAAGCGCAGCCTCCCCCCCACTCTGCCTCTGCCGCAGAGGATGGTTGCAGCCCAACGCTTTCGCCCCGGAGATGGTCAGCGCGGAGGAGCAGCCTTCGACAGCAGCCCTCGCTCTGTACGCGACAGGGCCTACTCCGAAGGGTACCGGCGGACAGTTGTCACAGGACGCCCCCAAACCCGCGGCCGAGAGCGCGGCGGGGCGGGGCGCGGAGCAGGGGCGGGGCGCGGAGCAGGGGCGGGGCGCGAAGGGGCGTGTAGCACCCCGACGACGCAGTTGTCCTCGGCGCCCGGCGAGTGTCCTGGCCGAAGAGTCCTACGGTGCGGGCGAGTCCCACGGTGGTGGTGACGGGAAGGGCGCAGCGGCGGCGGGTCTGAAACAGAA